AGATCTGTCTGCAGTCTGTTTCTTATCAACTCACCAGATCTACTAGTTTCGAATATTTATTCTTAATTAAGTAATATATGTGACACAATTATTTTTTTATTTTTTAAAAAAACTTTTGTGATACAGTTAGGGTTTTCTGAAATTAATTAGTTACATATGTGAATTAGTATTTAATACAAGTTAAATCTAAGGATAACTTATGCAGATTGTTTTGCATGGGACGATCAAGAGATTGAATTTGGATGTCTTTTTCTCCTTCTAAATTACACGCATTGTAAACTGTATTTATCTTTTTGTATCACTCGGAATAAACTTAATTTTGTATGGTCTATTGTAATTACTTAATTGCTATATATAATTCTCTTTCGAATATTGTATCATCTGCTCGTGGAGAGTTGTTTACCGCATACCTTAGATCTTTCACTTGTGTCATAAAGAATCTTCAGTCCAGACTTATTCTTGACATCTTATCCTCTTAATGTGCGATGAATAAATTCCATATATTTCATAATCTAGACGAAGTCTACCCAACGTAAAGACGAACAAATTAAGTGGGTAATGTTATATATGCGAGTATGTAAATTTCAAAGTAATACTGTTACGCAAACTGAGAAACGCTTTATTAGTAATTTAAATCAAAGAAACAAAATTAGTGTGAAGTCGGGGGAAAGGATCGTAGTTGTTGACCAAAAAGAGCGTCTTTAAGAAACGATTAATACAAAAAATTAAATTAAATTTTATAAATGGAAATATGTAGTGAAAAATCTCTCTAAAAGTTAGTATGTGTTTTTGGTCGTCCTAAATATTTTCACGGATTACACAAGTTTCGATGACTCATCGGATTTATCTTTTTACTATGTACTTTTAACCGAAGACTTTGACCACATTTTTTTCTCTACGGTTTTCAGTATCTTTCCTGATAAAAACAACGGCTGTTATTTTATGTCAACTTAATTTTTTGTTTTTAATGACTTAGAAAGCGTGTTGTCAACTGTCAAGCACTTAAAAGGCGGTTTTACCACATGTGATATTCATCAATCATATTTAAAAGAATGCATTTTTTTCATAAAAGTGTATTGATTCTGGAAGAGGTTGATTAGACGGATTTCTGAAAAATGTTTGAATTTTTTAAACCGCTGTAGTACCAAATGTTTTTTTCAGTTGAAACTTAAATAGTGTCGATAGTGCACAGTCCAACTAATTTTATGTTTCCTTTCTAGTTTCTATCTACTTTATTTTTTATTTTAAAAAAGTAGACGTCTTCAGATTTTATTAATAGACTTTTTTAGGCTTTTTCTCACAGATTAAAAAAACACATTAAAATTTTGATTATAAATGCATCATTTTTGTGATTAATAATTTTATATATTTGGGCCAGGACCAGCCATCATATTGAATTAGCCAACAAGACTTAATTTAACACAAGGCCCATTACTGCTTTTATAGTTCATTATACAGATTATGAATTATATTCCTTTTGGCCCATTTTTTTGAGTGAAAAAAATAATTGGTGAAATAAAAAGTATATAAGGGGATGATAAAATAAAGATATTATCCAATGTCGACCCACACCGTCCCACAAAGTTGACATTTTTTGGAATATCGTTGTCTCATTTTTCACACAAAGTGAATATTGTTATCATTATTTTTAGTGTGCTCTGCTTTATCTTATCTATTTTGTATTTTTGTCGATCCAACTTTTTTTTGGGTCTGAAAGTTATATTGATTTCCTTGAATAGATTACATTATTAACTCATACGGCACTAGTATTAGCCCATAGAAGGAAAACAAATTCGAAAGGAAGAACAATTTACAAATGAAACTTATGAACGCAGGTAATAACAAAACAAAGTTGCAACGACCGCAAACTAACACACTTAAAAGTTAAAACCAATATTATCCTTTTAAAATTTTAAGAAAAAAGATCCTTGTTATTAGTTAATGAAGTTTTAAACGCTAAATAAGTTGGAAATCTGAGTCGAAGTACAATTCTCCAAGGCAAAAAAGACGTAAACGCTTGGGAATATCCCTTTTTTTTGTCGGATCCAACTTATCTCTTCTCGTATTTTTATTTTAGTAACAAAATTTTAAATGGATCGAAGATATTCATTTTCTTATTTAATTTTTGGTTCTAGATACTGATAGAGTGACATGTGCCTTTCTTTTTTCTTTTACTTTATACAAATTTTATATATATATTATTTCAATGTTCCATAAGTATTCGCTACCATGTCGTTACCACCAACTTGGACGGCCTCCTTTTTTATTCAACTCGTCAAGAAATAAGATCGAAAAACGATTTTCGTCAAAAAATAAAAAGAATCGAAAAACATATTTGTACTTTTAATATATATTTACTGTATATCTACGAATTCAAAGCTGTGGTACCAGTAAGCATAAAAATATTAAGCTAGAATATTCTTTCCCCAATTTCTCTTCTTATTAATTTATGTGTGTTTTTTGCACAAATCTTAGCCGTTTTCATTAGTTACTACTGCCTTACAATCTTTATTAGATTAGATAATATAAAACGCTCCGAACGAAATCGAACCGGCTGGTTTATGCTAAAATCCATTTAACCCAAACGACGGTACCGAATAGTACTATTTTTTTAGTGAGGCTTGCATATCAAATAAAAACCAACATATATTAAAGCTGAAAATTTCAGCCCAATGGTTAATGAAAAGGTAAGTAATGTTTTTATATAGAAAATTTTGGGATTCAATTTCCAGAAAGTATGATTTTTCAAAAATAATAGAAGTAAATTAATTTATTTTTTAAAAATAAGCATGATGTAAGTGGAACTGTTCATATATCTTATTCATTGTAGATTTTCATAGAACAAACAACTTCCGTTAATAAATTTTCTTATATTTGTTTTCATAATTTATAAGAATAATGATATAGATTGCCAAAAAAAATAGTTTATACGTGGACATGTCCTTAACCGGCTGCTTCTTGTTCATCTAATTGTCCCACACTTTGGATTTATGTCATCTCTATAAGAGTACTTAAAGTCTAAAACTCATATTTCTAAGTTTTAAATGATATAATATTACGTATATAGAAGCGACGTTTTGATTATAAAAATTCGAAATATACATCACCTTCACAATCCACATCTTCATCAAGTGACGACATTGATTCGGTTTCTTTATAACTAACAATACCTAAGCCGCTCCAATAATGATTAATTTTTTTTTTTTGTTTTGAAAACGAATAATTGCTACATGTATATGCAGTTTAACGAAACGAAAGCAGTCGACTGATCGGCATAATGCCAATAGCTTTTAAAATGTCATAATTAAAAAAAAATTTATCAGATATTCAAAAATAATAATTAGATTAATATGTGCAATAAGTTTCTTAGAAATTGTTTTATCCGTTTTAATAAAAATGTATTCCTTTTCTCAAAAAAAAAAAATGTATTCCGTTTTTCTTTGTATATATATTTTACACCTATATAAAGCCTATTTCGTTTTAGTATATAATCCAAATATAAAATTTTATTTTAACAAGATAACATATTTTACACTAATGACGAAACAGTTTTTCAATATTTATATCTCTAGCTAATAAATTGACATTTTGGATATATTTATATTTTATTTATATTCCTATTAAACAAGTTTACATTAAATTCTACAGGACATTAGTTGTAAAAAAAGATGATATATTATGTAATAGAAGGTGTATACGTTTTGGTCGAATCTATTTTAGATTTCTACTATTTTGCCCTTTAATATTTTTTTGGTGAAAGTCGAAACCATGAAAGATATATGGTATTTTTCTTTTATGATCAAACAAATTTGTTTATGATAGTTATAATTTAATGCCAATTTTCTTAGCTTAAAAATTCTTGAATGTATGAGAATGTAGGTCAATTCTAAATTTCATTTCTAAACTTTGATCACGCTTTTAATGTTTTTAATTGCTGTTACATTTTGCTTCAGGTTTTAGGTAAAACAGTAATATGTCCACTAATTTGACTAATTTACTCGGTTTAGTACTTGATTAAAGTTTAACCTTTTTTCTTGAGTCACCAATCCAATATTACTCGGTCGTCATTACTCATTAATGCTCAGACCTCAGTTGCTGACCACATTGGCACGCTTAAAACTATTTTTGAAACTAAAGTAAAATTAAGTATGGGGTGTGTATGAGCAATATATAGTAGTCAAAAATATTAATACTATCAGTTATACAAAGAGTTTTATATAAACAACTACTATATCTAAAAATATTCGTTCCGTTTCTTTTCGTTTTATGTTGAAATGTAACATCTAGGATCCGCAAAAATATAGATTATTTATGAGAAGTGGAATAATGAGGCAAACATTAAGTAAGAAAACATTGTTAATGTCTTCGTCGTGTCTGTATGTATTTATAGCTTTATAATTTCTGATTTAAGTTAAAGAAAAGTACTACGGGGAAAAAATAGACAAGAAATGTAAAGACCTAGAGAAAAAAACAGGATAATCTAGCTTTAATGGTTATTTTCATTCCACTTCTTTACATGAAATTTAGGCAAACAAATGTTTTAAAAATATTTTACAAATAAATATATTGTACATCTGTACTCAATGCCAATGGTAAAATAAAAAAATACTTGTATAGCTTATGAAACGAAGTATTATATTAAACAAGAATATATGTTGTCTTCTAAAGTTTCGCGCTTCACATTCTTTTATTATAATGTCTTATTGTATTTATTTATAATATAGGAAGTACTACTCGATAGAATTTCTCTTAAATATTACTATGAACTTTCGTTGATTTTTCATAATAATTGCAGATTATAAAGTTCTTAAAACACCCATTGGTTGATATCAGATTTTTAAAGCAAATGACAACCAACTAGGAAATTTTGAATTACCACCACTGCATTTATTATGAAAAATCGAATAAGAAGATATGAGCGTCTCATCTCCTTTTGATGGACTTTTTTTATTTATTATAGTATGTATTTTCTCTTTATAAACAAAGCTCCCTCATCTGATTGTTGTTATCTCCTCTCAAAAAAAAAAAAAAAAATGAGCAACATGACTGATTCTCTCGAACTCTCATCTCTTACACTTGAAGACCCATGGCCTGCTTTCTAGCCTAAATTTCCTCGAGATTTTTTTTTCTTAAAAAAACACAAGAAAGCTAGAATCTTTTTTCTTCTTTCTGAGTCTTTCTTCTTTTTTTTTCTTCATCTTATAAAACGTTTTCTAAAAATCATGGGTACTGGAGAAATATCTCTGAAAAACTTCCATTTACATCGCAAACAAACGGTCAAAATCAAAGATGTTCCAAAAGGATGTTTAGCGATCAAGGTTGGATCACAAGGAGAAGAGCAACAGAGATTTATAGTTCCTGTTTTGTACTTTAATCATCCATTGTTCATGCAGCTCTTGAAAGAAGCAGAAGATGAGTATGGATTCGATCAAAAGGGCACCATCACAATTCCTTGTCACGTGGCAGAGTTTCGTTACGTTCAAGCTTTGATTGATGGAGAGAGATCGGTTTATAATGGTAATAATAACCATCATCATAGACATAGCGGTCGTGACCAGTATCATCACCTTGTTGGATGTTTCAGAGCTTGATGATTGATGAGTGATGAAGATGAATAGATGGTGGTCAACAATTGTCTGTCTAAAATTTTTAATCTTTTCTTTTGGTTGATCTTGTGGAGTTGTGGAGCCAAAAATGGCCTAACCCAAGAATGAAGTGAATTTTCAGAATTTTTATCGGTTTTAGTTTATTTCTGTAATTTTCATGGTTTCAAGATAAAAGGAAGTTACGTTTCTGATTTTTTTTGGTTCTTTTAGTGGTTTAGCCATTTTTGAATGACTAAAAGATAATCACGACGACGATGATCACAAAGAAACGAAGAAGATGACACATTTTTTTCTTCTTTTTCGAAACTTGCATTTGTTATTTAGTTAAGAGACGTACACGATTGAAAGCAGTAGAAAACTTTATAGGAGATAAATATTTTAGCAAAAACAATATTCCAAAAATTCTGCAAAATAGTACTTTTCGTTGCCAAAATATAACAACCTTAGAAAAAATTAATTGAAAACAACTCAACTTTTTGGTTTATGAGTGTTCATAAATGATTCAGTACAATTTTTGGAAAAGTTTTCATATAGAGTTATAGACTAAATTTGTTGAATTCTGGATATAATTTGGTGATATTGGATAATCGAGCATATACAGTATATAGTATTTTGGAAAAAAACATTACTATTATCTGTCCATCAAATTTTATTTGAATATAGAAACAAAAGAAAAAAAGGAGTGATTCTCAAAATCTTTTTTCATTTAAAATATTTCCTTTTATCTTCCATTGTAACGGCTGGTCCTTTAAAGCATTCAATTTCATTTGACTTTAAATTTATTACTATTGTATTTTAATAATTAGAGAATTTACATACACTGATACACAGTCAAGTAAATAGCAATACATCTTCCATTGTTAGCAGGTGAGTAAATGCATCCTTGGGAGTCATTAACTATCATGCGTTAATTCCAAAGATCCTATTTTACCCATCACACACATAAAAAGGATATTAAACGACGAATTTTTTTTTTTAGTTATCATTATGATAATTATACTTTTCCCTTCAGTTTTTATCTTTAGGATTTTCATTTAGATTTATATTTTAATATGACTTGTATGTGTTGCAATAAGAAACGAATCATTGGTTTTACTCTCTTTTTTTTTTCAGAAATCTATGATGGTATTTTATAAACTTCACGGTTATAATTTCTTTTCTTTTGATTAATGAAACATAAAGTACTTGAAAAAACAGAAAATGCACTTAAAACATTTGATTACAATAACAGGGAATCTACAATTCCCTGTATTTCCGTAGACTAATGGGTACGAAGAAACCCACTCAGCTTACTTTCATAATTTGTAATAAATAGTCATGATTCGATTGTCGGCACCATTACAGAAAAGGAAAGGCTTAGCTTTTTTTGGGTTATCTTATCACTAATTGTTGTTTTCTAACTTTCATTTCAATTTTAATTTTGGTGATTTGGACAGCGTAACTTTCTTGTCCCTTAGCTACATAGCCCTCTAAACAAGATTACATTTTGTTTAGTACATCTGGTCTAAAAAATAAATAGTTTCTTGTGCATGAATCATGTATTAGACTATACAAAAGATTGCTGATAATGATTTAATGTAATAAAGATGATGAAGCGATTCGCTTTAAGAGAAATGCAAAAATAAAAAAGCAGATAACATATACATCTTTCAAATAAATCTTACTCGAAACCATAGTTTTCCGTCTTAAAATATATTGCAAAAAATGAGTGACATCCAATCTACCTTATGCACATTTTTTTTTCTCCTCTTCGTTTTAGTCTTTTCTGTACCTTCAAATTAAACTCTATGATATGATAAAGAAAAAAACCAAACGGACGAAAATACCCCTCACGCCTCTCAGAAGTCTGTTACTCTGTTCTGATGGAGAAAAAAAATATATAAAACAAAAAGGAAAAGAAAAACCTAAAAAAATTAAGGACGACTATCGAGGTCTTGCGTGAGCAGCACGAAGAGTAACACCATGCAAGAACTTTGTGAAACCTAAGAAACTCAGCTTCCCGTCACTGCTCCTTACCCACTCTCTCAAGTGTCCGTACGCAGACGCACCCACATTCAGTTCCTGTACAAATAACCGAAACCGGTTTGAAATTAGATCCCAAAAAAGGCCTGAAACCGGTTCGATGAATAGGATTCACATCATTTATTTACCCTTGCTAGTTCTTCGATTGTGATCACTCGGTTTCCCTCGGTTTCAAAATGCTGGAAACCGGCGGCTGCAATCCCATCCCAAGCTTCAACAGCTTCTAGTTGATGAATGCTAATTGCTGCTGCACAAAACTCTTCGAAATACATCTTTCTATACGCTAGAGATTCCATCTGTCAAAACAGATATTGATTGAAAACCCGAGCTCAGTTCCAGGTCTAAACGATTTAAACAAAAGGATTGATTTTCGGTTTATAATTGTCCTCACCGTGTGAAGAATTTCAGGAACCCTGGATTCTCTCATTGCGTCTGTTGCGTTTTGCATAACCGCCTGCAAGAATTGAGCTTACTTAGAGGTTCAAGAAAATCAAAGAAAACGAATGTGATTATGTCTTAAAACCAAAGGCCTTTCTTAAGGTTAGCTAACTTACCATCTTAAAGTTTTCGAGGGAGACGCTTCCATCTTTGTTTGGTCCCAAGAGCATGAACTGTGCTCTAAGATAGACTAGCTCGTTCTCAGTCAATGCTTTTGCTAAAGCCTGCATACATTTGTTCGAAAAAGAAACAAAAAAAAAAAACCCAACATTTCACTGCTTTAATCTTCCCAAGCAACTCTAAACCACTATTTTGCAAAGACGATCTTCTTGAGCTTTATGTATACTTTTGGGAATGTTTTTGTATAAAAAGTCAGGGGATACCTTCAAAGCAGCCCGTCTAAGAGGTGTTGCGTGCAAGTAGGATTTGACCAACTTATAGATCAGAATATCTAAAGGAATCGCTCGACTATCATCCCGTAGCCACGGATGAGCTGGCAATAAGAATTTAAACAGGATCATCAGTTCACAATAATAGAACTCCATGTTCAAGTTTATTGTAATCACAGGTGGAAAAAAAGAGAAAGAACTCACTCAAAGCTTGAACTGCAGACATTCGTTTCCTATAGTCTTTGTTGAGAAGTCTTTTCACAAACTCTTTACCTTCTGATGAAACAGAAGGCCAAGGTAAGTCATCGTAGTGCGGTTCAGTTCTTAGAACAGTGCGAAAGATTCCAGATTCTGTCCGTGCCCAGAACGGCCGGCTTCCACATAAGAGTATATATGTAATAACTCCAATACTCCATATATCAGCCTCAAGGCTATATGATCTGTGTAGAACTTCAGGCGCAACATAGTAGGCACTTCCAACAATATCATTCAGCCTTTCATCTGTAAGGAGAAGTTGAAACAAAAGTTCACTATTAGACTGCAACAAAAAAATTGTAGCTAATCAAGGAAAGCCCTTAAGTACGAAAAAATCTTACCGGGTCTGACAAAGTCCGAGAGACCAAAATCAATAAGCTTTAAATCTGAGTCTTCGCGGCTCGATGTAAATAGAAAATTCTGTTGAACAAGGTCATAGGAGATTTTTTAGTATTGATCTACTGGAGACAGATATAGAGAAAGTTTAAGAAGAGACAGACCTCTGGCTTTAAGTCCCGGTGCACAACTCCTTGGAGGTGACAAAAAGAAACAACATTTAGAATTTGTACGACAATAGCCTTTGCGTCATCCTCTGGGTATTTTCCACCCCTGAGACAAGAGAAATGCAATGTTTGAGCATATATGGATATGCATACATGCTGTAGAAAAAAAATAAAAAAATCCAAGAGCAATCAGATCACACACCTTGCTAAAATTCTGTCTAATAGTTCTCCACCATCACATAACCTGGCAAATATTATTTTAGGTACAGTAATTAGTTACAAGGTTCCTCTGGTTACAAAGATAAATGTATCAAGAAATGGAATAAAGAATTTTGTAGCAATGGTATAGGTGTGCTTTAACTGCTAACAATCCGAAACAAAAGAATATCTGATATGAAAGGGAAACAAGACATACTCCATGACTATGTATACGTTATTGGCGTCCTCGCATGCATCATAGTATCTGATTAGATGTTTGTGCCCAGATAATGATTTCAATAACTTCACCTCCCTGCGAACATCTTCAATTGCAATTGCTGTCGTCATCTGCCAAGCGAAAAGAAGATTAACTAGTCAGCAAATCACACGCTCGACTAACTTTTTCTTGTTTTATCGATGACAATGATAGCACCAGACTGTGACGACAAGCTTTCGTTACTAAGGTAAGCAAACAGGTGAAGAGACAAAATCATGAACATTCCAAAGTGAAACCCATACTTCAACATTATGTACTAATGCAGACAAAAGGATCTACCAATCTACGTTTGTCATCTTTTCTTGAAGATGGAACAGTCAACAAATATTACACTGAAGACCATAACATGCTTACAAATCGACAGCTAGGTAAATCAAATGTAACCTAAACGTGACGACGAGATTCACTACTACAATAAACAACGACATGAAGAATACAAAGCTCATGAAACATTAGAATATGAAACTACATTCTCTGATGGTGGCCATCCTGTCCTAATGCAGACAAATCAACAAAAGTTCAAACTATGGTCTACTCAACTCACTGCCAGACAAAAGATTTTCCTATCTAAAGAGACAACACTGTTCCTCTCAAAGAATTTGCAGGAAGAAAAAGACAATTCACTGTCCCACAGCCATTATCCAAACCCAAAGAATCTACTTTCACTACCACAATGTAAAGCATTACTCATTGCAGAATCCAGAAAAGAAAAAACCTCCACAGATTCTTCGCAGCGGTAAACAAACTCAAAAACTAGATAATGATCAAAGATGGAGGTTTAGACCTTAGCCTTGGAGATGATCTTGACAGCAATAGGATGATCCTTAATCTCTCCCTTCTTCCCACGCCCAGAACAAGTGTGACCGAAATGCCCTCGACCCACTTCTTTCCCCAATTCATACTTAGCCCCGAAATTCTTGCCATAGCCAAAGCTCTTATCAAGCGACTGCTCTGGCTCCGTTCCTCGCTCCTCCGGGATCGGGCCTTCCTTAGGCTTCACTCCAAGCCGTTTGATCAACGAAGCCTTGATGTGTTTCGCCGGAGACGGCGGAGGAAAAGGCCGCCGGAAGAATCTCCTCGGAGTCGAAGTCCTCGCCGGAGACGGAGAAACGCCGGAAGGCAAAGGACTGGCTGATCCGTGAGGGAAAGGACTAGGCCAAGGACTCGGATTCGAAGACCTAGATGGAGTGTTCTTAGCTCTTCCGTTTCCGTTACCAGGAGTGAGAGAAGGCTGAATCTGATTCCCGTCGCCGGAAACCACATAAGTAGTCGTATTAGCTTCGTCTCCGACATTAAGCTTACTCTGATTAACCTTCCCGTAACATTGCCCCATCGCTACTACTCCCACACGCAAATCCAAAAGGGGAGAGTCAAATTTGAGGCATCGGAGGGAGATGGAGCGAGAGTGAGCCGATACGGATCCGATCAAAAGGAGGAGAGAGAGAGAGAGAGAGAGATCTAATGTGGAGGAAAACGATAAACCAAAGGAATGAGAAAGAGGAAGAAGCAGAAGACAGAGACGACAAGACAGTGTTAAAAGAGACAAAAGAGAAACCAAAGTGACAGGCAGCAAAACGGAACGGACCTGGACGGGACGGTGGTGTTTTTCTTGTAATAGCCGTTGGATTAAAATCCGAGATGTTAAAATGGAAGGTGGAGATCTCGATGATTTTGTTTATTTAATCCTTAATGTGAACCATTTAACTCGTTCCAGCATTCAACAACTACCCTTCCGCTACTCCGGTATCTTTTTTTTTTGTTGTTGTTTATATATTTGATCAAGAAAAACTTTTTTTTTTTGTTTTGTTGTTGTGGATCGGTATATCAAGTGAGACGTTGGGAGATTGGGTATGGAGTTTGTAAATTTTAAGTATTTAGTTCCCTTACTATTTTGGAAGTAAAATTTTAGTTTATTTTCGATATTCGATTCAAATATGATTTTCGCGGGTAATTTGATCTATTTGATTTGAAAGTATAATGTATAAATTAGCACGTAATTTGAGTCTGTGTAATATAATCTCATACAATTATTCTTGATTTTTGGTAATATAAAACAAATAATTTGAGTCCGTGTGACATCAAAACAAATAATGAAAATATATAGTGGTAATTAATTGGTAAAGCGACGTCTATGGATTTGGGGATACTTAACACAAACATTACTATCTAGTAGGTGAGAAGCAGATTATTTTGAAATTATTTTTACAGATAAACCCCGAAAAAACAATTATACCTAAAAGTAAGATCAGTGAACGTTTAGAAAAAAACATTATTCGTGTGGTTGTATCAGCAGAGTTTGATAAAATATTATAGAATAATTAACATCGATACATGTCCATACCGCCGAACATAAGGATATAATTGTAAGAGATTAGATGTATGTTATATTTTTATGCATGTTAATTTGTAAAGGAAAAGTAAATGTAAATGGGGAATTGAGTCGACCTAAAAAGCAAGATTGGCTAGTCATAAGGTGCATGCTATTTAAATGGAGTATTAATTATTTTTGGAATGAGTTAAATACTAGTATTAAATATTGAACCGGTCGACTTGAAGTTAGTCCACCAACCTCGCTCTTCTTTAATTTAATTCACATATAATATACACAAAATAATTGTGATTTGAGTTCGTTTTCTATACAAAGTCAAGTCAAACGTCTAATACTGCTTTACTAGAGGTCGAGAAATATAAAGAACAGCGGGAAAAAAAGAAGTAGAAATCAGATATCATAGCCGCGTATGCTTTGGCCTTTGCGATTCTAAGACATATGATCCGCAGACTCTTCGTTTGGACTTATGCCCAGTGTCCAACATACATCGTTTAAGTTCAGTATATTAATATTTTCTTATCAACAGTTTAAAAATATTATAAACAACATGCATAAAATTTTATAATTTTCAGCTTACTATAAAAGTCACCGGGTATCATTATTTCAACTAAAAAATATAAGAGACCTAAAAATCACATAATCGACTAAAGATCAAACAAAACTATATAACTTACTTTAATTCCAAATTTAAAAAGCATACCTAGCGTACAAATTTCTTCTCATTAAAGATAGGGTAATTTACCATTTTTTGAGCTTTGATCGAGCTGAATCTCTTTTTCACTCTAATATGGGTGTAACTTTTTTCTGGGCCGAAAACATGTAAATAATATCCCGAATTGATAAAAATAATTTGACGAAAGGTTAGACCCAAAACATTTGACGACAAAACATTTAAGCCCAGCGTATCGTTAGCAGTGTAAGGCTTATTATAAGTATTCGAAGGGTATCAGTCTAATTAATATCGGCCCAATTTAATCCTTTTCCATGCCAAAAATGTCAACATAAATTAATAACTATCAAAATATTTCTCAATCAAAGTCAATAGAAGAATCCATAACGAAATAAGGAAGAAACAAACATAAATCACACCGACCTGATTAAAAATTACTTTTGCTTTCTTTCAATTACTACTAATGGTAGCTTAAGGGCTAAATCAAATGAAACATTGAAAAGGGCAGCTTGTATCTCTATACATACACTAGTTGGTGTGGTTTTGGTTAAGGTCGTTGCCACAACACCTAAATCTAGTGACGAGACATTATAAGAATCGAAGAGTAACTTTGAAGCTAACACTATTAAAAAAGCATACGAATGTATGTCAATGTCACTTCCTATAAATAAACTTCATTATATTCCAATCCGGGAATCCCTTTTCTATGCATACATGCGTGTATGTTGTATTGCTGTTTATAAAAAATACGTATTATCTTAAACATTAAATTTATATTTATATTTTTGCTTCTGCAAGAAGCATGCAGTCGAACATTTGGACCGGCGTTTTTTGGAGTTGTTGGATTGTTGGAATCATCTGATAATCTCAGCAGACGCATATACATTATATTCCCAATATGGATTTCAAGAGAAAAAACATATGGACTAACGATCTGAAACTGTATAACTCTCTTTAATTATAACCGCAGCTTCTTTTACTATCTATATTCAAAAACTAATATCTATATATAATCCGAAAAATAAACGGATCCATGAGACGCGTGATTATGAAGGGAAAAACTACACTATAAGAAAATCACTAGTTTGGTTTATTAAAAAAATTAGATAAGGTACAATAAAAAAAATTATAACGATGCGTTATTTGTTTGACATTTGACATTAGCTTTTGCCCTTAAAAGTTCATTTAGTGGCAAACATTTGTCCGCATCGACGGGATTAAAACAATTAAATGATCAAAAGAAAACAAAAATGTTACTTTCCCTAAAGAAAACTTTATGCTAACTTTTACTATACAGTACTTCATGTTTTAACTAGGGTCTATATGACAAATTGACAATTAAGATGGCGACACGCTAAAGAACCGGGAGAAATATTAAACCCGGTTAAGAAAATGAAATTTTGGATTTAGTTTTATTATTTCCTGGTCACATTTCTAGTGACATTATAGAAAAGGCAACATTAAATTATGTGAACATTTAGGTAATAACCTCATAAGTAAAACTGTACAAGTACTAGAGAGGATACATCACGTGAACCGTCGGATTGTTTGTTATAGTGTCTTCATCGTACGGCAACACGATGAATTAAAACAGAAGATATCACGTGAACCAGTGCTCATTAAATGCTAATGCTATCGTTAACTCAGACTTTAACGGCGTATACTCCCGATTTAACGCCGTCAGTTCAATAACTATAACCTAAATAATACTCCGGTGCAATAAATTACGCTCTTAATTATATAATGCAGCCTCTATTTGTTTGTCATAAATGGAGTATACGGGTTGGAATTTATAGGAAAAACAATCATAACATGTCGAAATAAGATCGCAAACGATGACTAATCTTATACATTTACAATGAGAAACAAAAGTTATTGAAAAAGCGAGAGTACATTGATTGTGATTAAGTGGTCTAATTATGGAAAGAAAAAACTTATAATTAGTAATGAATTAATGATGATATCGAATAAAACCAGCACGATCGTTTTCTATTATTCAACATTCTACACCTAAACAAAAAAAAGTAATGCGTTTATTTATCATTAAGCTTGAACTATAGAAGCACGATCTAAGATAGGTATGAGTTATTAAAAATATGTTGTCACCGAGCGAATCACATTGTATGAAAATACTTAAAATACAGACCATCAATTTTTTGTTTTATATAATTAATCTTAAACGAATCATAATAGGCTCGAATAATTTTGATACAAAATGTTTGATTGTGTATCTGACGTTTTTACAAGAATTTCGACGAACCAGTGCACATGTAACCATGTGACAACGTATCCCCAAAACAAAAACTAAACAAAAAAGAAGCCAAGACAATACAGCGAAGTCGTCTTTTTTTTATGTCGAGTTATATATCGTCGTCCCCACTAAACAACGACGTCGTATCATTAAATGTGCTTACAATCATATATATTAACAATGGAACGAAAAAGTATGTTTGTTCTTTGGCGATCTGTTTTTGTGTTTTTTTAACAATTCAATCAATTTAGCAATATTTGCATCAAGTTTGGGACGGTTAAATCCGAAAATCATACCATATGTTATTTTGGTATAACTTCTGGCTTTATTAAAACTAATAAACATTGCAATTTAATACAAGGAGTGGTAGCATGAACATTTTCAAATTCACAAAGATCAAACTCTCTTGGTCAAAAGAAGTGTCTTAATAACATGAGTCATAGAGACTGAAGAGCAGGGGAAAAAAATGAGCCTTAAGAAAAACAAAAAAATTATCATTGAACTAACCATGTAAATGAAACAAAATCAAAGAAAGTTCCAAAAATAACACTGACTCGTATGTCCCCCATTCTTACTTGTCACCCATCTCATCTAATCATCTCCTAGGCAGCCTCACGAGCCGTCGAACTATTCTATATAAAATCTTATCACAAGTATGACATATATATGTATATCATTGTTTTTTTTTCTTTATTTTTCACCATTACAAAACCTTGAATATTACTTACTTCCTAAGTTGATTTCATTCTCATTTACGTCTCCGTCACTCTTTCTCCCTATCCACTAAACACAGATCCCAAAAACAAAAACACAAAGGTAAAAAAAAAAAGAAGAAGAAGAGAGAATAGTCCCTTTGTTTCTACGCGATTTATCTGTAATTTTCCTCACTTTCTTTCTCACCAAACAGTCCCTTATATCCCTCTCTATCTCTCTCTCATTCTCTCTTTCTCTCACATTTAAAGCTTCTTCTGCTTAACTTCCACCATTAATATTACATTCTCTCATATTCTCCGGTAGACCAGAAAAGACTGACGATGACTAACTTCTCCCGATCCAAATCTACTGGAGCTACCGGGTTCCCGAATTTTAATGCGACCCGACCCGGTCCAGACATATACGAGAACATCAATGACGATGACGAAGACTACGAAGAAGAACATAGCACTACGAGCACAGACTACTACGACGTATCCACGCCGTTGAGCTCACACGGGTCGAGATCCGGGTCCGGGTCCGGGTCGGGTCAATTCACGATCCTCGACCTTCTTGCTGCGGTTCTGAGGAAGTCGCTGGTGATGTCTTGTAGCATGGAGAGAGGTGATGATGACGTGGCGACGTCTATGGATATAGGTTGGCCGACGGAGGTTAAGCACGTGAGTCACGTGACTTTCGACCGGTTTAATGGTTTTCTCGGTCTTCCCTCTGAGCTCGAACCGGAGGTTCCTCCTCGAGCTCCTAGCGCCAGGTCCGTTATATTTTTCATCACTATATTTTTGATTCGTTTGTGACATTATTCCATATCTCTTGAAAAAAAATATTAGGATATATGTGAGGGATTAAATAATTATTTTCATAGCTGGATCCCTGCATTTTACATGTTACTGTGTTGGATAGTATCATTAAGATGGTTGTTGTTTAGATTTAATGCATGATTATGACACGCTTTTTTTTTTCACAAAAAAAGTCTCTCTTATTTGTTTTTTTTTTTTTAAATAGAAGATTAATCAAGAGTCTGAAAATTCAAGAACCAAATATTCTAACCCACGAATATTATGATATATGAAACAATCTAGGCAGAAAGCTTGGTTTTTGTGATTATCTAACTTATAGGCAGTACTTGATATAAAAAAATTAGGACCCTACGTACAAGAATTTTATCATATAACAACGAAGACCTGATTACATATCTATATCATTTATCATACACGACAAACCGACTCTGTTTATAAGATATTGAAATTTGTTTTTTGTTTTGGTTGATAAAATCATTCAAAATTATGTTGGACGAAAACGTCGCAGAAAAACCATACACCAGAAATCTATCTCCTTCCGTTATTAGTTTATAAGTACTAGATTTATTTAGTCATGAAATTATAAAAGTGGATATCTAAGAATTGTGGGGCCACACGCACAAGAAAATGTTACATGAGTGAACAGTTAAAAATGGTTCTTCATACCATGAAACTTATGGATATTCACTAGTCTGGTTTGTGTATGTGTAACAAGTGATTTCTTGTTTCAGTGTGAGTGTCTTTGGAGTATCGGCAAAGTCGATGCAATGCTCTTACGACAACAGAGGAAACAGCGTCCCAACGATCCTTCTCAGGATGCAGAAACGTCTTTACACAGAAGGAGGTCTTAAAGTAAGTCTCCAATCTCTCTCTCTCTGGTCTCTTCAAATTTCTTAACAATTTTGGATTACTTCGGTGTCAAAAGAATCATGCTGATGATATTATGTATGATTGTTTGTTGCCTTAAGGCGGAAGGAATATTCAGAATAAATCCGGACAACGGCAAAGAGGAGCATGTCCGAAGACAGCTAAACCGCGGTGTGGTACCGCGTGGTATTGACGTTCATTGCTTGGCTGGTTTAATAAAGGTGTTAAAAAAGAACAATAATACTAGGTTTCTTCAATATGTCTGAATTTTTTAAGAAATAGATGGTTTGATTTGTTTGTTCATTGAAACAGGCGTGGTTTAGGGAGCTACCGACAGGAGTGCTTGATGTGTTGACACCAGAGCAAGTGATGAAGTGTAACACAGAAGAAGATTGTAGGAGGCTCGTGACTCTTCTTCCTCCGGTTGAATCTGCGCTTCTCGATTGGGCCATTGGTCTAATGGCTGACGTGGTGGAGCATGAACAGTTCAACAAAATGAATGCTCGCAATGTAGCTATGGTTTTCGCTCCAAACATGACCCAAGTCAGTCAACAATTAAAAATGCTGTTTTTCCTTTTAAGAGAAAGCTTTGATCTTTTTTTATGTTTTAATTCTCATGAAAATGTTTTGATACTGTAGATGGCAGATCCTTTAACTGCATTGATCCACGCGGTGCAAGTGATGAACTTTCTCAAGACTTTGATCTTAATGAACCTCAAAGAGAGGGAAAACGCAGATGTGAAAGCAAGGTGGATCGAGAAACAAACATCAGATCAATCAGAAGTATGGGAATCACAACACTCTGAGATATTAGGCCCTGAGAAACCCAACAGTAACCCTAAGTTCTTGAGAGTGGCTACTCTGTTTAGGCTAGAGGCTGACAATGAAGAAGAGTTTTGGAACACTGAGAAGAGAAACGATCGTAAAGATACAACTGAAAATACTGGGACTGTTCAGAGGCTGTGTAAGCATCCATTGTTTCAGTTAAGCAAATCAACAAAGAAACCTCTTGTAAGTAATCAAGATGAAGGAAGAAGAGGACGAGATGCTTGGGGTTCACGTCTCTCTTCTTTGCCTTGGTGAATTTCACTTGCCTCCCTTTCGTTCCCTTTATTTTTTATTCTGTTTTTAAGAGTGTAAAAAATATTGTGAAATACGATTATAGGTGTTAGTTGTTTGATATAGGTATAACGTTTATTCAATGAATTCAAAATGAACGTATAAGAGAAGAGATCAGAGGTTATCTTATGTCATTTTCTGGAAACCTAGGTCTCTTGGTTCATTCAAACCGACTTCGAGAGGTGTTTTTGAGATCTTAACTGAATTGAACAAACCTGAATCCTTATGCATGTGAGATCTTATCTGAGAGAAAATCCTACTCTGTTCCATGAAACAGAGCCATTCTCTGTTTCAAAAACAGAGTAAGCACATATAGTCTTCTCTGACCCTATTAGCGATTTTTCTTTGGTTTTTTTGTTTGGGGCGTTAAACTCACCATCTCTATATTTCAAAATTACTCTTATAAAAAACAACAATTAGACAATACTTAGAAAAATCATAGACCACTCGACCAGCTATTTTAAGTGCAGGGATTCGATAGCAGCTCCAAAGGACAAGTACGTGTCAATGGGCTAAAAAAATATACATTTGTGAACTAACAATACAAGTATGATGTCTACAGTGTATAGTTGGTAGTGGACTAGAGACATAGGATCAATTGGGTATCTCCTGAGTTCGACTTATATTTGGCGAGTGCGCTAACCTGGACTGGGCATCGGCCTGGTTTTTTCACCCCGAGATTAGTGGGGCTTTGGTTCGAATTACCTTGTAAGTAAAGAAGAAAAAAACAAGAAGTCTAATCTATTAGATTATTACAAATTTCATGAGATAAAGCTTGAAAACAAATATATAACACCAAATTAATACAACATCTCATTACTATATTTGTTGGAAGAATGTTCTCGTACATCCCAATCAAATCACATATTCAAATAACATCTTGATTATTGTAAATCATCCTTTTTAATCACATTTTTCTGTTTAAATGCTCTGAAGTGAATAGTTGTTGTGATTGTTTCATGCATTTATCTCTAATCCTTTTGACATACAGTCTTCTTCCCCTATCGAAATTCTCACGTTTTGTAAATGCTTGTTTTAAAAGATGCAAATATTTTTTTCAATTCAGAGTAGTTCGTAGAATCTTCAAATAACTTTTTCTTGGTGTGAAACGAGAGCATTACCATGCTTTTCTTTTACGTTTTCGTCATCTTTCAACTTCAACACAGTCAGCCACAACAGTAGCATTGAAATTCAGATTTTTCATTTTTGCCATTTTTTCATTAAAATAAAAACATCTAACCGCATGTTATCTACGGTGGCTTATACTGAATTACTGCAAAACCTTAGCTGTGAACATTTGAGTACTGTTTTTTGGGTATAACCGAAATTCTTTGATCAAAATCTAAATTAGACACAATATTTGTAACAGTGGAATATGATGCAGCGAGAGTGTACATAGTGAATATTCATACCGATCTTCGAATAAAAATACTAGATTTTCACTTAGAAATAAAAATACTCTAGATTGTAACCACTTGGCATAATAAAACCATGCCGTTTTATCAGTTTTTTTTGTTTGAAAGTTACAAAAATCGATTATGTATATATAGGCCTCGATATATAATAGTACAAGTACAACGATACAATCAATGCAATACCAGCAAAATATAGCACAAAAATGTGGAATACTGACTCCAAAAAAATATAATAACTATCAAAATTTGTCAAAAAGGTCTATAAAAAATCCAACATATTTTCAAAATTTTGCAATGGCTGTTTTTATCCCCTAACTATATTGTTTTGATTGATAAGCTTAACTTATACATTTTTTCAAGTAAATCGATTTCTTTTGTTGGGTTAATAATGTAATTCGTTTATTTCAAGAACAAACATTCTAAACGTCCCAAATTATTTGTCAGGCCAGCCTTCAAATAATAACAGTAGAATAAATATGTTCTTTTTTGTAACAACAAACAAATACGTTGAGCATGTACATCAGGGGATCAAGAAGGGTTCATTGCACAGTTTTTGAAGCAAAAAATCTTAATATTAAAGAGATAGTATTATCCCGACGAACCTGAAGAGACGTTATCATCCCAAAATAAAGCATCCTGATTGGTTGAAAATTATAATAATTAAAAAAAAATTTAAAACCAAAAAAAATATATTATTATATTCTGATGAACCCCTTTCTGATGAATCTTTTAGGGATTCACTGATGTACATGCTGTTAGTCGTATTTGTTGAGCAACATAATACATCTTTCTTCTTTCATGATGATCTAGTGCGTTTAATCTGATTGTGTTGTTCGTTGCAATCATCATTCAAAACCACATAAATATAGATATCTTTATAAACATCTGCATATAAGATATTTCCGTAAGAAAAGTGTGATGTAATTAACTGAGACGAGTTTGTACGATGTTGGATACAACAATATATGGCTGTGGAATAACTGTGACTTTATATATACGTATGTTTAGATAAATTAAATGGCCCAACTAACACACCGAAAATGTACGAATACACTGTCTCAATATATTTGTTTCTCATTGGTCCACTTCCAAGTTCCAACTTGGCCAGCCACTGACCACTTCACCTACAATTTAAAATAGACTGACAAATCTCCAACCAAACACTGATCCGTAATAAATCCTCTCTCTCTTTTGGAGTCCTTTCTCTTTTCGAGTTTCCTCTTTTGGATTCATTAGTTAACTACATAAATCAATTTGAGGGAAATCACATGATTCTAACACACTTCTTTCACGTAAAGTGTAAAAGTTTCGAAGCCGATAGATATATAAATATATGACAATTTAATTACTATAATGAAAGCTGTACGTGCAGTCGACGCGAAAAGATAAGAAAACTATCTATGTTTGGGAATAAATAGGTTAACAATATAATGGTTAAAATGCTTAAATAGTGACTTGAGATATCTTTTAAGTTTTAACTAATTGCTCTATTTTTTTCCGGAAAAAATTTGCTCTGTTAATCACGATCGAATTATCAAATTATTTTTCAATTTGTTTGAATCAGTCGTAATTATTTGTTCTTGGCGGCTATAATATTTGGCAACACGGCACTAAAAGATAACCAACTTTTTGTATGTCAATTTTTTTTTTTTTAAGATGACCAGATTTTTGTTTAATGTGAGATCACATATGGCTTGTTAATTATTTATACAACTTTTAACAAAAAAAAAATATTTATACAAATTTCGCTACCACATTTTTATGTTGCTTTTTTTCTTACGTTGCTTACTTGCTTATAAATTGAAACCAATCCAATAACCAATTGTTTCTCATATGCTCATCTCAATGGCAAATTTGAAGCTTCCTTTTCTTATAATTTTCGTTCTTTCTCTCTCTCAACATCATCTACTTCATTTTCACCATGACTTCTTCTCTTCTTTTCCGGTCAAGATCGGTTTAATCATTATATCTATCCTCTTCTATGCCTACTCAACCACCCGATCCAAACCGGTTTACCTCGTCGACTTCTCATGTCACCAACCCACCGACTCTTGCAAAATCTCATCCGAAACGTTCTTCAACATGGCCAAAGGTGCTCAACTCTACACTGAAGAAACAATCCAATTCATGACGAGGATCCTAAATCGGTCCGGTTTAGGAGATGATACGTATGCCCCACGTTGCATGTTAACCTCCCCGCCAACACCATCAATGTTTGAGGCGAGACATGAAGCCGAGTTAGTCATCTTCGGAGCTCTAAACTCACTATTCAAGAAAACCGGAGTCGATCCGAGAGAAATCGGAATCTTCATTGTAAATTGTAGCTTGTTTAACCCTAACCCATCTCTTTCGTCCATGATCGTAAACCGGTACAAGCTCAAAACCGACGTCAAAACATACAATCTCTCCGGTATGGGATGCAGCGCCGGTGCAATCTCCGTCGATCTCGCCACAAATCTTCTTAAAGCAAACCACAACACCTATGCAGTCATTGTTAGCACCGAGAACATGACTCTTAGCATGTATCGAGGCAACGACCGGTCCATGTTAGTCCCCAACTGTCTATTTCGAGTAGGTGGTGCAGCGGTTTTGCTCTCAAACCGGAGCCAAGACCGAGTCCGGTCCAAGTATGAGTTGACTCAACTCGTAAGGACTCACAAAGGCGCTAGCGATAAACATTACACTTGTGCTGACCAGAAAGAAGACGACAAAGGTATTGTTGGAGTCGCACTATCTAAAGAACTAACTGTTGTCGCTGGTGACACGTTAAAGACGAATCTTACGGCACTTGGCCCGCTTGTTCTGCCTTTATCTGAAAAGCTCCGGTTTATCCTCTTTATTGTAAAGAGTAAGCTTTTCCGGTTAAAGATTAGTCCATATATTCCGGATTTTAAACTATGCTTCGAGCATTTCTGTATTCACGCCGGAGGTAGAGCGTTACTTGATGCAGTTGAGAAAGGTCTTGGACTCAGTGAGCTTGATCTTGAACCGTCTCGGATGACTTTGCACCGGTTTGGAAACACTTCCAGCTCGTCCCTGTGGTACGAGCTGGCTTATACGGAGGCTAAGTGTCGGGTCAAGCGAGGAGATCGGGTTTGGCAGTTGGCGTTCGGGTCGGGTTTTAAATGTAATAGTATTGTGTGGAGAGCGTTGAGAACGATTCCGGCGAGCGAGTCACTGGTGGGTAACCCTTGGGGTGACTCGGTTCACAAGTATCCGGTTCACGTGGCATAAACTTTGGTTATTGATACACGTGGGAATTGAAGTCACGTGACTAGCTGTCGTAGATCAGCTATATATCTCTACCTGCATTCGACGATAAAATGTAGCTTTTTATTTTATGTTACGCAAAAATATAATTTAGGCGAATGAATTATCATCCATATTAAAAAAAAAAATTATCATCAATATAATCTGTATACGTCTGTCTATCTTTCTAAGAATATAAAATATGAAAGGATGATTTATAATTTAATAAAATCTTATATATATATATATAACCTTTTTTTTGTTACTATCATCATTTAATTTCATTTAGCTATACAGTAATGCAGTGGCCTCGGGTGCACATTCTATAGTCCTTGCGTGTAATCAATTAATTCTGGTTACTAGCGGTTTTTTCTGTCACAAGAAGCTTTATTGGCTGCCTTTTTTTATTAAAAAAAAAAGAAAAAAAAACTTTATTGGGCTGTTACTCATTATGTTTAGAACTTGGAAGGACAATAGTCTTATGGGCCTTATCTAAAAAGCCCAAAGTTTACTACTACTACTATATGTGGACTGGATACTCTCCACCACCGCAAAGAAGGTGACGGAGATAAATTCGCTCTCAGGAAATCGGAGTTATACGATGTGGACCGTGAAATCGGCGCCGATGCCGGTTCAATTTTTCAGGGGACGAACCGGAGAAGTTTTCGTCGGATATTCACAGTCTCCGCCGCTTAATTACAACGGGACCCACCGTCGACTTTGTAACATCCCGACGAAATCGCAAACATCCGAATCCGTCGGTGGATTAGGCCAGAAAATCATCCTCCGCTCCGCCGAATCGAACCAGAATAAACCGATCCCAAAGGAAAAGGAAATTAGTGGATCAGACGTGCTCTGGGCGATTCAGAGAGCGACGGCTCAGAGGAAGAGATCAAACGCCGACAAAAAGACGAAGAAGAAGAAGATAACAGGTGTGGAGCTGTCATCTTCTGCGGGCGAGTCCACTAGAGATAACGGTGTTGATTACAGTAACGTGAGGCCGTTAAAGATCAAGAGCGATTGGGGACACAGATTGGACGAATTCGAGAAACTTCTCAAAGAGTTTCAAGACACGGGACTTTGAGTTTGACTTTGACTTTTGCAGTTTACTGTATTCTCAAAGTATTTTTAGCTGTATATATATTATTTTCAATTCCCTTTTTTCTGTAACTAAAAACTACAGTACGTATATGTCAGTCATTCGACCCTAAAAAAACACTATATGTAAAAAAAATATGATTAATATAAATTTATCGCAAGCATACTATAAATGATAAGCTGTATTTATTAATTTTTTTTTAATCGTACCACATTATTATAATTATTACAACAACATAAGCAACGACTTGTCATAATAGATAAGATAAATCGACCCATTCATTAAGTGTTTATGACGATGGGGGAATTTCTGATGTAGAGGCAATGAAGTTGATAAATTATCGGCTGAATTAACCACACTTACGCGTTTATGTTACTGACACGTGTACAAACCCTAGCCTCTTTGTAAACTTTTCCCGGTCGACACAAATAGCCTTTGGTCGGAGCACAATGAGCATCCTCCGAACAAATACAAAGTCCCTCCAATGCACATCCATCATTTACAATTGTAGGGTTTCCTTTGATCCCTAGGATTTGATCCGTCCATTCGCTCGAGAATAATCCGTTGGGATCAAAACTCTCCTTTACTTCCAAGAAAGCAGGTGCGTTTTTGTATTTTTTAATCACTCCATCGAATGCTACATTTCTATTCTTACCCCAATGTGGCAATGCATTATACTTTAAAAACGCAACCTGCTCAATTTCTTCCACAAAATCTTCATAGAGTCTTGGTGCTAACGGATCTTTGGCTCGGTAATATGTTAGATCAAAGTCCAGGGCTTCCGTTTCTTTCCCAAGATAAGCCGAGGAGGTTGTGACATAACGCATTAGAATACCATTGTAAAGTTCAAGGCCACATAGAGATTTTGGATCGATTTTGACAAGAGATTTGATGTCATTGATGAAACTTTTGACTTGCGTGAGAGGAATACTGAAACATGTTTGATGAAAAAATTCGCCTTTCACACGTGAGTCCCATGCACACGCCGTACTTAATCCATCTTGTAAGCTATCTAGACATGATCCCGACGACATCATACTGTTTTGGCTTCCAATAACCGGATAGCCGGTGAATACAACTCCTTGAATATTTGAAAAATAAAGGTTGGATTGAGTAAATATATTCAGTGTCATACTCATATCAACCAAGACATAAACGGGAAAAATAATTATACCATTGTTTGTCAACCCGTATGAGCTAGCAAACAGTGTAGATGAAATCACTGTGGCTCCCGCACATTTCCCATTAGCATCTCTGACCGTCTCTTGCGTCTCCTCTAAAATTATTATACCAAAAACAAACATTTTAATATGTCTCTCTAAATTTTCTTTAATATTAAAGGTCAGAGATATGTTGAAAAAAAAAAGCGAGATGAGATTTTTAGAAGGTCAATAATGGAATCTTCATTTGATATAATTCTATTTAAGACTAATACTATATGGCAACCATGCACGTATAATGGTGTAATAAATATATATCCTCCAGAATTTTTAGAAATAAAGATAGCTAGCGAGGAAGGAACCTGATGATCTTATGGTGGCTATTGCAGCAGAGGGTTGCGAACGGAACGGCAAGTAATCATACAAACCGTTGCCGGACGTGTTGACCGCTACTCGATCGTCCATTCGATACACAACTTTGCCTTGGCTTGGTAACCATACGAAATCAGCAAACTCATGTTTTCTACCGAATGTCAACGCTTGATCATCAAAATCCAAATCGTCTCTCATAACATACTTTAACGACCTTTTGAACATCAGTTGTAAATCAAAAGTCACCTGTTCAAAAGAAATTTTGTTAGAAAGGGTTTTGATCACGATTAAAACCCAAAAAATGAAATGTAGATGGATCTAACCTGAGAGATAACGCCTAGAACGCCAAGAGAAACCTTAGCCGCGTTAAACTCATTAGGAGTCGTAGTCTCGCTTAAGACTCTAACCTTAGCATACCCATCGTTGACAGAACCAGGACTAACCATTCTAATCTCGGTTACATAATCATGGACTGCACTTCCTTTACCCCACAATGAGCTCCCGTGAGCACCGGTCCCCATCATGCCACCCACAGTTAGTCCCCACCAATACGGTGCATGAGGCAACGCCAATCCAACTTTAGCCGCTTCAGAGATTAACTGCCTAAGCGTCACGCCGCTTTCAACCGTCATGGTCATGGCCTTTGCATCCGCACGCACCGTATGGTTTAGAAACTTTGTGCTTATGAACAAACCGTCGGTTCCGTCAGTGCACGCGAGCTTAGGGATGCTATGGGAATATCGAGTTGTTACACGCATTTTCCGTCCGGCTTTAGTGGCTGCTGCCACGATAGAGACAAGCTCGGCTTCGGTCGTTGGGTAAGCCACGTTGGCCGCTCGACACGTGGACCGGTCTGGGAAGACTCCGTATGAGTTTGTGACTATACAATCCGTGTTTCCTGCTACACATCTGACGGGATCTTCCGGTGGTGTTGAGAGCCCCGTATGCACAAGTGTAAGTATACAATGTATCCCGAGAACAATCCGCCAAAACGCAGCGTTTTGGAAACCATGCGAAGGAGAATAACCAAATTCCATTTTCTTTTTTGTTTGTTTAAGTTTTGTTGAGTCTATGCATTTGGGAATGGTGCCGTTGGTATATATAGAGGTGATGTGGTGTAAAAGGTTGGTTCACTGCGATTTAAATATAATATCTTTGTTATTAAAATTAGAAAACGCTGATACTTCATGTGCTAGTTTGTAAGATATTGTAAAATTTCCAACAACATTCGAGCCATTATTTTTTTAGTGTCAAAAGAAATTCATTTGTATCATATGATCTTATAGACCTAAACCATATATAGTAGTACGAGCCCGCATCGGCGCTGGCATCGTTTATAGCTTTTTGAAATTTGTTAATGGAAATCGTTTGTGTTTTGTTATATTAGATAAAGAAGAAAAAAAACAGGGGGGATATGTTCGATCAGAAAAATCTCCTAGTCCATCCCTTAGTATCTTTTTCAAATTTGGCTAAAGATCAAATCATTTTAGTTTCTGCTTAGTATAATTAATTACTAGTTTTCTTCGTGATGTTTTCATGGAATTGTTTTGTGCATATGTATAGCTGAACAAAGAAATTCCTAGCAAATCGATGTTTGTGAACAAATTATAACCCCAATTTTACCTATTTTAACCCACGAGTCGATCTCTACCTATCTTCCACTCTTAATTTCACTTTTAATCAAGAGAATTATTCCGCTATGATTTATGGTTGTTCAACATTTTACACTTGCCCTGTTTTTCAATTTGATGAAGAGAATATCTTGATGTTCTTCAGCAAAACCAACCCGTTTTACAGTTTCACAAAGCCCCATGCAGTCTTTTTTTTTTTTTTGGTCAACCCCATGCAGTCTATTTGAGAGACTCAAAACACATGGTTTCACTTGCAATTTTTTTTTTGGGGTTACAGAAGGGTTTATTCGTTAACAATTTAAAGCTCACGGTCTAAAATATAATACCTGTCTATATATAAGTTAAAGGGCTTTTAGTTTCAAATCCCACTACATGTTTTTAGTTTATATATTTAATATTTGCCTCGTTATTTCTTTTCATTTCATTGTGAGTAACCGTCGACTTTGTCCACTTGCCAAGTTTTCTAATGTTCTAAAACAATACACTATTTCAGCTAGTCAACTGAAAATGGTTATATAATTCTACATTTAAAATGATTATATAATTCTACACCTTAAGAATGATTATATAACTCTACACATGAGAATAATCAATCTTCGATATGGACTTATAGAACAACTCTTTTAACAAATTAAAAAAATCATGCCTCGTCGTCTTATGCTATTTAAAGAAAAATCAGACGATGACTTCAATAAATAGGTGAACATTTAATCAATCATATATATATATATATATATATATATATATACATACATGAACGAAAAATCAACTAGTAATTAATTATCACATAAGTTTCGTATCAGTTAAGAAGTCAACTCTGGAATGCTTAACAATACGATCTATATATTATATGACTGAGGGAATGTTTTTGTTCTAACTTTGGAAAACAGAACATGAGCCAAGACGGGCAACTGTGCAAGTGGTAAGGAAATTTCAAGAAGACGTTTGCAACTTGTAACTTGTAAGAGATGGTGGTTGTGATGTCATAGGAGGATTGATAAGTGGCTGAAATCGCTGGAACATTAGATGGGTTTTATTATAATTATATACAAAATCAGTTGTCTCTGTTTTTTCAAAGACAAATCCGTTAGGTTTTGCCCTGTATTTTCTAATATTAATAACAAAAAGTCACTTTATATGTAAGATGGAGGATAAGAAAGTCATGGTATGTATGTCTCCCACAAGCCATTGTCTTCATTAAAAAAAAAAACAAATATATATATATATATATGTGTGTATATAATCTCATCTATTAATATACCTAAATAAAGAGATTCATCCCCGAAGTGGAATCAGATTGGAAGTGAGTTATAAAACTGTCAAAAACCAAACTTCGTGTTTATGTTCCTTTTGCAACGAAATAATGCGAGCGTTATTAGATCAAAGAATCAACAAAAAATAAGAAAAAAGTTTTTTAAGGCAAGAAACTCATCCAATTCTGAACAATCAGATTGAAATACCACAACGTGACAACCTTTCTCAATAAAGCATTTCATAGTTTACATCAACACCTCCATTTACTTCTTTCTTCCGTTTCAAAAAAGTAATGTGTTAAGAAATTTATTTTTTTTGTCCTAAACATATGATGTTTTCAACTTCTAAGTGCAAGAATTATCAGTTTTATAAAGTTTTATAACTATCTATATTCTCCAGTTTGTTTTTTTTTTGTGCAAATCCTTCATATAGAAATTTAATCAAATCCTTCATATAGAAATTCTTCAGTTTGTTTTATCATGGATTAAATTATGTCTAAGTAGATAAAATGCTGTTTTATTTTATTAAGAGAGATAACCCCAAGGACACCAAGAGAAACTTTGGCCGCCGTAGTCTCGATTCAAACTCTAACCTTTGCAAACCCATCATTGACCCAACCAGGACTAACCATCCTAATCTCGGTCACATAATCATGGACTGCACTTCCTTAATTTACCCCACAATGAGCTGCCCTGAGCACCAGTCCCCATCATACCACCCACCGTTAGTCCCCACCAATTAGGTGCAATACAACGCCAATCCAACCTGCTCAAACTCCCAAATAGACCTTACTAGTGATGCACATAACATATTGAACGTATGAAAATTTTTTTTCTCTTAATGATTTATTACGAACATGCATGCACAACGTAAGAATATACCTGGATCCAGTTCATAATTGAGATGTTGGGTCTGTGGAACCTGTCGTGCTATGGGTGATAGAGAGAGCGTAAGAAGTCGAGAGCCGCTTAAAAGAGCTTCAACTTAGGACACATTGACTTTGACCTTGTTTTTTTTGGAAAAAATTGTGATCTTTTCTTATTTCCTTCGTAGGATATTTAATGTTAACTTCTTCCATTTTTATCTGTAGTCAAGCTGTATATTTTCAAATTTCTTCATTGTAAATTTTTTATATATATTAAAATCTAGAGTCTAAACTTGTCGCACGGACGAGCATAGAAATAATTATCACCAACATAGAACCCAAATTTTTAACAAAAAAAAAACACAGTGAAATAGTTAAAAATCGTGATGCGTGCCTCTTGAAAATTCCAATCTTATTGCACTCGCGAGATTATTATATTTATGTTAATTAAAACAACATCAGCTATCACTCGCCATGATAATTATCCAATCACACGTAAAAGCACTTTCTGATACTATAAAGAAGCAATGAAGATTAATAACTTACTGATTGAATCACACTTATGCCTCTGGTACGTGCACAAACTCTAGCTTCTTTGTAGACTTTTCCCGGTCGACACAAATATCCTTTGGTCGGAGCACAATGAGCATCCTCTGAACATATACATAACCCCTCCAATGCACATCCATCTTTGACTATCGTCACGTTTCCTTTGATTCCTAGGATCTGATCTGTCCATTCACTCGAGAATAAACCCATCGGATCATAAATTTCTTTTACTTTCAAGAATGCCGGCGCATTCTTATACTTTTTAATAACTCTATCAAAAGCTAAATTTCTGTTCTTTCCCCAATGCGGCAATGCTTTATACTTGAACAATGCAATTTGCTCAATTTCTTCGATGAAATCTTCGTAAAGTCGTGGTGTTAGTGGGTTTTTGGCTCGGTAATAAGTTAGGTCAAAATCTAAAGCTTCTGTTTCTTTCCCAAGATAAGCCGGCGAAGATGTGACATAGCGCATTAGAATTCCGTAATAAAGCTCAAGTCCGCATAGAGATTTCTGTTCAATCTTGACAAGAGATTTGATGTCGTTGATGAAACTTTGGACTTGCGTAAGTGGAACACTGAAAGTTGTTTGGTGAAAGAATTCACTTTTTATACGTGAATCCCACGGACACGCCGTGATCAATCCATCTTCAAGACTGTCTAAGCACGATCCTGACGACATCATTCGGTTTTGGTTTCCAATGACCGGATAACCGGTAAATATAACGCCTAACACCGGTGAATATGTGAAACAAGAAGGTAAGAGAGGGTTAATATTCGAAGTAAAATTAATGAAAATGCACACGTAAATGTGAAATTATATATTTTTTTCAAAGTATTACCGTTGTTGGTCAAACCGAATGAGCTAGCAAACAGTGTAGATGAAATCAGTGTGGCTCCTACACACTTCCCATTCGCATCTCTGAACGTCTCTTGCGTCTCCTCTAATTAATACGAGACAGGAAAATAGAAGAAGAAGTTAAGTAAATGTACTAACTTTTATAAATAGGGGGATTTTTTTTTCTTTTTTTTTGGTTAACGTTAAAAAATAGTATTATTTAATGATAATATTTAGCTATCTTTCTCATACGTAAACACACAAAAATAAATAAAAGCTTTAGAAATAAGGTGAACCTGAGGATCTTATAATTGCTAATGCCACGGAGAGTTGCGAACGGAATGGCAAAAAATCAAACAAACCGTTGCCTGATGTGTTGACCGCTACTCGGCCATCCATTCGATAGACCACTTTGCCTTGGCTCGGTAGCCATATGAAATCCGCAAACTCATGTTTCTTCCCAAATGTCACAGCTTGATCCTCGAAATCCGAATCGTTTCTCATAACATACCTCAACGATCTCTTGAACATCGGTTGCAATTTCAAAGTCACCTTTTCGAACAATTGTAATAAATATGTGTCAGAAGTATGCTATTATTTTTCTTTGTAGTAAATTGTAAGATAAAAAATTAATAATTAATTAAATCCAACCTGAGAGATAACGCCAAGAACGCCAAGAGAAACCTTAGCCGCACTAAACTCGTTAGGAGTGGTAGTCTCACTTAAAACTCTAACCTTTGCAAACCCATCGTTGACAGAACCAGGACTAACCATCCTAATCTCGGTTACATAATCATGGACTGCACTTCCTTTACCCCACAATGAGCTCCCGTGGGCACCGGTTCCCATCATGCCACCCACGGTCAGTCCCCACCAATACGGTGCATAAGGCAACGCCAATCCA